GAAAAGGAAGAGGAGAGAAGAAAGAGAGGAGAGAGTGATGGACGAGCGAGAGTGAGGAAAGAGAGAGAGAAGAAGATGTCCGTATGGAGTGTGAATCCACGAGAGACCAAGGACGGAGCAACAGAGCGGAGACGAGACGAGGAGAGGAGATAGAGAGACAAGAGAGAACAGAGTGACTGAGGGAACATGAGAGCCGGAAGAGGCGCAAGAAAAGAGAGAATGTGGAGAGAGATAAAGCGACGGAGACAGAGCGACAGAGCAGATGGATGAGAGCGAGGAGAGAGAGTGAGATACGAGGGAGAGAGGAAGGTACCGGAGAGAGAGGAGAGGAGAGAGAGAGAGAGCGATAGAGAGAGGAGATGAGGGTGCTGGAGAGAGAGAGAGAAAGAGAGATGAGATGAGGGAGACGAAGAGAAAGAGAGAGAGAGAGGAAGACGCGAGAGTCGAGGGAGAGAGAGAGAGAGAGAGAGGATGAGAAGCTAGACTCGGATCGGAGCGAATCGCGATTCGCGGAGCGAAGGAGCGCGGCGAGGATGAGAGAAGACCGTCGAGCGCTTCTGCTGAGGGAGAGTCGGGGGGACGGAGAGAGAGATCGAGATGAGAAGCGGAGCGGATGGGAGACGGGATGAGAGAGACGCGTCGATAGGAGGGGTTGAGAGAACGACGAGCATCGAGAGAGCCGAGGAGAGAGAACGAAGAGAAAGAGAGACGTGAGAGAGAGAGAGGCGTAAGAGAAAGGACGAGAGACGAGAGACAGAGGGAGAGAGACGGTCCGAGATGGGGAGAGAAGAAGAGAGAGGAGAAGACAGAGAGAGGAGCAGATGAAGATGTCACCGCATCAGCGGCGCGTCCGACTGGCAAAGCTCAGCCGGCGCTCGCTGGGTGCCGTGTTATCAGGCCGTGTATCCATCGACCTGAGCGTGGGAAAGAAAAGAGAGGAGAGAGAGAGAGAGAGAGAGAGAGGAAGAGAGAGCGGCGGCGGCCAAGGCTCTCGCGCGAGGCAGCCGTCGGAGAAATCCTTTCAGATGCGGCAATACGTTGTTGCGGTGGTTGTGGCGGAGCCTATAGCCTGGTGGTCTACTCGCACAAGTCGCGCGCTGCATGGTGCCTGCCGAATCAGCGGCCAACCTACGTGACATGTCGTGAGTCATTCGCGAAATATTTAATCGCCTCGAAGAGCGTGACGTCAGTGGCTATCTAGACACCCATTGAAATAGTATAGATAACTAAATAAATAATAAATAATAGTATAGATAATAGTATAGAAATAGTATAGTATAGTAAAGTATGGTTACCTATACTATTTCTATGTATACACCATAGATAGTGTTTGGGATACCATAGGAAGTATATAGGATAGTCGAGTCGGTGTATAGCTACTGTTAGTGTTATAGGGTTATTAGGGTTATTAGGGTTGGGGTTGTGGTTAGTGTTTTTGCATCATCCTTTGATATACGGAAGGTCTGATGCGGAAGTTGATATGCGTAGTATGGAATATGACCATGCGTAACCACCAGCACCATCAGCAGGCTGTATGCATTCAACTTCGGAGATAGCCAAGTTCGTGCGTGACGTCAGTGTACGTCACGAGCATACTTTGGTTCATAGAAACATATGCCGACCATTTAATGAACTTGCCGTCGCTCTCGCGGTGCAGTGCGAGAAGTGAGAGTTCTAGCCGGAATGTGCATATCGGGAATATATTATTGCGTGGATGCGTGATTGATCTGTCGTAACAATGAACGCGGAAGGTGGATTCTTTTATGACTGGTCATGTGAAGAGTTATCATAATATAGCTATTAATACAATTATATATGAGGATAGGTGTTTGAGTGATTCTGCACACATGTTACATGGGTTTAAGCAGGTGCGTGTTTACAAACACGCGAAAACGTTTGCAGTCGAAACCGCGTGCTAGCGCAGCAACACGCAAAGCAGTGATTTTCAGCACTAGCTGGTTAACTATATATGGTTCGGCCCAGAAGCGTAAATCCGTACCGAGGAGTGGGGGGGGGGTGATCGGCGATAGCCATCCCATACTAGCACGAGCACAAGCCAACAATAATTTACGCAGACACGTGGACACATACACACGCACATACACCCACACACACACACACACACACACACACACACACACACACACACACACACACACATAATTGGACATATTTCGGACACATTTTGGACAAATTTGGACATATAGTAAAATGTATGTATAACTGTATAGCCTACACGTATACAGTATGTCACGATCATTTAGAGTACAGGGTCTCCAAGACTGCATGTGAACTCCAAATGCGAAATGAAATTGATAGACATGGGGGGGGGCGAAATTAACCTTGGCTGCCGCAGGCATGCCCGCGTGCCGTAGGCATGCCAGTGCTAGGAGGGTCTGGGAACATGCCCCCCAGAAAATTTCGAAATATTTAAGCCATTTTCCTGCAATCTGAGGCATACTGTGGGCCATATTCTCATGTCTGATGACACAATCTCAACCCTAGACTCAAACCTACAAGTTAGGATTCAAAACACTTTTCATGACTTTTCAGAGAGCGTACACAGTTAGGTTACTATAGTAATAATACATGTATTAAAACACAGGTAAGAATTGCAATTTCTCACAATTTCACGTGTTTTTGTATGTTTGCAACCATACGTTTTGGCTATTTGTGAGTCTGGAAACATTTTCTTGAAGATTTTATTTGCATGGTCTCATTTCTCATGCATTATGCTGAAATTGAAACATCACATTTCTTTCTTTTTTCTTCTTCTTCTTCCTTCTTTCTTTTTTTTCTCTTTTTTTTGAATCTCAGAGGGGGATATTTGTACAGGCCATCCCCTCCTCCTTCAAGATCGGGGGGATGCATCCCCCCATCCCCCCCCGGGATTTACGCCCCATCCCCCTCTGGTTCGGCCACATATAGCGCGTCGCGTAAATCCATCTTCAGCGTTAGTTACAGGCCGCTTCAGTATAGAGTGCTATATATAGTACTTTCAGATTGACTGAACGGCGGTCCGGAGTGCACTTAATCTATCACCAGCGTATGTACCTGGCTGGAGATCCATCACCGTTGCCCGCGCGCACACACACAACAGGTGACGCCTGTGGGTAAAAATAATATAGTGGCTAAACTGCGGTAATGTGTCTCTCTTTGCGCGCGGTTAGCGGTGTGCAACGCACAATGCTGTATCACCTAGCTCGGCGACGAATTCATGCGATGCTACGTCTTGCTCTTTCTTTCTATATTTTTTTTCTCTCTCTCTCTCGTGCTTGCTCTCGCTCTCAATCTTACTAGATTTCGTCTCTCTTTTTCTCACACACACACACTCTCTCTCTCTCTCTCTCTCTCTTCTCTCGCTCTCTCTTTCCCGATCTCTAGCTCCCTTTTTCCTTCTCCCCCCTCTCTCTCTATCGCTGTTCCTCCCTCTCTATCTCTCTCGCTCTCTCTCTCTCTCTCTCTCTCTCTCTCTCTCTCTCTCTCTCTCTCTCTCTCTCTCTCTCTCTTTCTCTCTCTCTCTCTCTCTCTCGATCGCTTGCTCCCTCACTCCGTTTCTCTGGCTTTTTTTCTTTTTTCTCTCTCTCTTTCCCTTTCTCTCTCTCTCTCTCTTTGTCTCCGTCTATCTCGTCCCTTCACTCTCCGCGACTTACCGGGCAATGAATGCTGCACACCCTCCTACCTGCCCCAGCACTTACGGCTGATCGCCAGTGACAGCTGCCAACTCAATGGCCATCCTCTCTAAGTTATTCTCCGGAGAGAACGCCGGCCGTAGCCGCGCGAAAACTGCGCAACGACGTATGTACGTATTCCATGCGCGAGTCTGCGACAAAGCGGAGTTAGCTGCTGCAACAAGGAGCGAGAATGCGCCGCTAAACGCATCTGAAAGCCGCGCGTCAGAATCGGTCACGAGGGTGAGCCGCCGCTAGCTCTGAATTCGCTGTAAAGTGTGGGATTTGCGCCGCCGCTCAGATATGAATCTCTAACGCGCGGTTTTGTTTCCGCCACCTGGACCCGTGGTCCGTGGTACGTGGGAGCGTGCGGGCAGCGTATGGCTCAAGCGGGGAGCCAATGCGATGGCGATCAGTATATGCAACAAATAATAGGAACGAATAGGCCTAATACCTCTTGATGTATACGTATTATTAGAACTTGAACACATGTGTATGTATATATGTATATATATATATATTTAATATACACACACACATATATATATATATATATATATTGAACATACTTTATGTTAAGTTTATTCATGTGTGTGTGTGTGTGGGCGCGCGCGTGTGTGCGTGTATGTATATATTGATACGCGTACGTGCATGTAATAATATTGCGACGTATATATGTAGGCTGTCGTCAATGGCTTGTTTTTCCGACATAGTCTGTGATATTTACGCATGCATTATGTTCCCGTCGCGCGTAGTTCTCTTCTCGCCACAATGGGAGTATTGTAGCGCACCGAGAACGCGTTACCTCGCCCGTGTGCACCTAATTAGAGAAAATTAAACACGTAAACACACGCGCGGGGGAAAGTGGAACACAAACCAGCTATAATTCTGTGTGCGCTTGATTTTGGCGCGTGAAAGACAAATATTCCGCGAGCTCGCCTGCAGGGTTTTACGCGGGATGTTTGCGCTGGTCGCACCTCCTCGCGAATTCTAATTTATCTGTGATAAATAAGCGCGCGTGAATCTCACCTGCTGTATGCTCGGGCTCGTTGACCGACACCATATCACAGACACTTGGAACGTTTCAATAAAAAAAAACATGGTAAATAAACACGAAATAGCGTCTATATTCTTGTTTTTTTTTGTGCACAGCAGCGTGCGTGCGGTGTGCTTGTGTGTTATAGAGAAGCATTTGAACGGCATTTACAGGAAGTTATCGGCAATAATAGGCGAAAGGGAGTAGAGAAACATTAAGACTCTGATAGTAAATACATTTCCTGTTTATTTACCATCATTTTACTATTGAAATGTTCCAAATGCCTGTGCACCATAGTGCACCATGTAAGCTCCACACACTTACCGCGCGGACCACACACACACACACCCGCGCGCACGGAGCGCCACTAAAATCCTCACAGTAATTAAATTACGTGAGTGACGAGAAAACAATTAGAGCCGCTGGACCATGCTAGTCCGGGCGCGACAGAGCGCGGAGACAGGTGATAAAATACGGGTGCCCCGTCGTATAACGACCAGAACATACCACCAGGCAGCATCACGGCTGAGACGGTAATAGGTACCAATAAAACGCTAATAGTACTGCAAGCGTCCTCTAATAGCCTCGCAATGAGAGGGAGGACGGCGAGAAAGAATTCGACCGTCCTTTCTCTATATTGCCGACGGACTGAAAGCATTCGATGCTGTACCGCACAACACACGTCGAGCGGGACTGCAACTATAATATACTATAATACGGGGGCCGCGCGTTCACGGCGTGGCCGAAAGTTAATCTAACATTCTGTCTCACAATGCCGCGGCTTTTAGCGTCCATCCGACGGCGTGAGCATTCAACTGAACTCCCCGGAGAGAGGCGGTGCAGACTGCAGGCTGGTAGGCTGGCATTTCGCAGCAGTGGCGTTGTTCCTGCCGATCTATAGACAGCCCGTGCCTCCCTCGATTCCACTGCTTCAGCTAATCAAGCGTGCATGCAGTTTTGCAAGCCGATGCTGCAATCAATATATATATATATACGAGGCATGCAGTGACCAGGGACTGCGGCTATGTACGGACGGACGTCTCTACGCGCGAGTTCTGGCGATATTGCAGTGAAATATCCTCCAATCAAGTTGAGATACGCAATTAATCGCAGCGCATGCCTTGATTGCATAATGTAATCCGTAATCTGTTTCGCCTACTATACCGTGCTGCGCGCACGACGGGCTTTAACATTTCCGAATTAATCCGCGCAGACGTATAGAGTGCGAATATGGCCTCGACATATTTCGCTGCAGGCTTATGCTGAAAGTTTAATGTGTACTGAAGGCATTGTGGTCTAATCTGTATGGGTGTCACCGCACGTCCCCGGAAAAAAAGTTTCATAACGAGCACAATTAATCTAATTAGAGCGAATTAAGTAAACACAATTCCCATAAATTGCCTTTTCGATAAGACTTTGCCGCATAAATTGGAGTTCTAATTTCATTAAGATGTTCATTGGCGTCCGTATTTGCATATCGGTGTCATTATATTCCATTACTATGCATCGTCACGCACGGAAGATGCTTTTCGTCTGACATTAAGCAGTAATTTACTCGACAGATGGCTATGAGTGGGAGACTCATCGTTCTCGCTGTCTTTCCGTTCTCGTCTGTAACTGTCACACGCTACAATACACGCGCATATAATATGGATGCTGGTCTATATAAATGCTGGGTATAGTACGCGTGCATGTTTATTTCGTATTCATAGGGGGTGGTTAGGGGTTGATGTGCGGACGACGAGGGGTACTCACACTGATACCGTTGACACACCGAACTTTCAATGCGTTTTGATGCGCATTGATGCGCTTCAACGCGGTTATGTACACACCCGATACGGTGTTTATACGGTCATTATTTTCAATCCACATACGTATGTGGATTGAGCAGTTCGCTTACGGTTCGATTCGGTTCGGTTCGGTTCTGTTTGGCGGTGTGTCAACAATAATTTTACAACACGGTTCTGTTCGGTTTGGGATTGGATGATGAAATCACGTGGTGTTTTCGTGAAGATCCTGTGATTGGATGATGAAATCACGTGGTGTTCTCGTGAAGATCCTGTTGAATGCGTTGTTGGATTTGCGTTCGGTTGCGTTCGGATTTGCGTTTCGGTTGTTTCGGTGTGTCAACGGTATATCACATATGAAATCGAATTATGTCATTCGGTTACAATGCGCATCAATGCCCATTGATGCGCATTGGTCAATACCGAATTCGGTGTATCAAGGGTATTACTGACAAGAATCTCACCATGCATCATCGTCATGCTGGACTCCATCATTTCGCACAAAGGCATTTAGATCGTCATGAAGCCAACACGCACCAGATGCCCCCTGCTCAACCCCTCCCTCTGTTAAAACCCATGCTCAACGCCCTGCTTGACCCCATGCTCGCCCCCTGCTAGAACCCTTACTCGACGATTCTGCTTGACAGCCCCCTGATTGACCTCCTTCTCAACCCCATCTCCTGCTAGAACCCTTGCTCAACTGCCCCTGCTTGACCCCTTGCTCGACCCCCTCCCTGCTTGATCTCCACACTGCTCGACCCCACCCCTTACCTGATCTCCACCCTGCTGGAACTCTCGCCCTGTTTGATCTCCCACTATCATCGGCGCTTTCCCTTTCCTGTACTCCTGTTTGAACCTTCCTCTTGTCTGACCCCTCCTTGTTTGAACCTTCCTCTTGTCTGACCCCTCCTTGTTTGAACCTTCCTCTTGTCTGACCCCTCCTTGTTTGAACCTTCCTCTTGTCTGACCCCTCCCTGTTTGAACCTTCCTCTTGTCTGACCCCTCCTTGTTTGAACCTTCCTCTTGTCTGACCCCTCCCTGTTTGAACC